ATATGTATTTATATACATATGTGTATATACATGCGTATACATCGAGTAATATGTAGCAAACCACATGGAGAGTCTTTTCGTTGTTTGTAGCATTATCGTTTGTTTCCGCCACAAAACATTCTAATTGAGGTTATTGATTCAGTCCTAAATTGACACCGTTTATTTTTATTAACCGGAAGTAAAGGCTTTCCTGCCACTGAAGTGGCGACTTCTTAGAGTGTCATTAGAAATGGAGTGGTCACCTGGTTCGTTATCCATCCAATGCTAAGGCAGTGACTTTTCAAATGAACGTTTCAAAACGGTGAATACCGCGTTGTACACATACTGTTATTGCCCCGTCATTCCGGTGCATCAATAGATCATAATGACCTTGGAATTTTCCAACTGGGAGGCTGCCCATCGTCTGAAACGAACAATAAACAAACACCTATCAGTTCGGTATCAAGATAGCGTCTTGTTCCTTACAACCAAGACACGGCACACCAAGCGACCGTAGTTTCACATTTAATTGCTTAGGTGCTAGTGTTGAAAGATCCTGTTGAACAATGAATATCAGTTCGGAAACAGTCCCACAATCAGCAATATCATTAGTCATTGATGTACAACGAATCCCTAGTATTATCACCTAAGTTTGCTCGCTCAGGTCCAAGGCGGTCAATTACAAACCGGTCAGTCCCGAGTGACTGAGTAGCAGTGTGATTGTCTTTCTGGTAGACAGCAAACAACGTCACTCACCGTTCAGTCACAGAAAAACACAACACTAGGCCACGTATTGACTGGATCCTCGAGTGTCGGCTTTTCAGATGGAAGTTTCAGTCATCGTGTAAAACTCTTCTTCCTCTGAGCTACTTGTAAATGATTCCTTCCGACTTCCTTTTGTACCGGCGTATGAACCATTGGGTACCAAAAGACATTGCTTCGTTATTCGGAAAGTGACACTGGCTAGGCTTGGATACCCAGATATCTTCATGTGTCTTCACATGTGACCCTATTGACTCTCCCCGTGGAGTTTTGTGACTCACCATTTCACCGTATTTCATCACGTGACTTAACCCCGTCTTCCTTCTCACCGCCTCGTATTGCTCCTCCAGTGTACGCTTTTTTATGTTGTTCTGCGCGCGGGTAAGAGATAATGACAAAAGGGATACATGTGAAGCAGACATATCAGCTGATGAAACTTTAAGAGGATCCGGCATGGGCGAAACGGTGAAACCACCGCTAGATATAAGACAACCGAGGTATGGAACGAGACATATTACTGGAAAACTAGTGAGCACTCTGCTGCACCTGTATACCATACATGCGCATACAACGCATCTCAAGGATTTGATGCTCTGAGGACCTGATCCCTATAATCATCATCAACAACATCATCCTCATCAATACCAAACTCATCATCCTCGTCATCATCATCATAACCAAACTCATCATCCTCATCCTCATCATCATAATCAGCAGCAACGTCATCACTGTGAACATCCGTATTCAAAATTAACGCTTCCCTGCGTGCATTCAAAATTCATTTGAAGCCCAATTCAAACGAAAAGAAACAAAACGGATGGGTAATGGACCTGGTGCTGGCCTACCACCATCATTCCGATGCGCTCCAGACAATTAGTTAGGAGATCTAACCTAAAAGTGATAATGAGGACTACAATAATATCGATTCAAGGACATGATTTGCAACTACCTTAACCAGTGACGGTGGAAATCAGGCGATCTCCATCGTAAAGGGCGACTTACACCGATAGCATCCAGACGTTGTTAGCCTCGTTCATATCCCTCTGCAAGATCAGAGGCGAATCTAATTGGGAGGATTGTGAGAAATTTTGGACATACAACCAATGGTTTGATTATTTTGGGGCCACCGGACGGCCGTGGTGGCTGAATTGCCATAAATCAACTGGCTTCCAAATATTACCGGACTACCCATCCACAACACTTTGGCTAAAACCTACCTGTTCCGAATCTGTAATCCAAGCATGCGAGTAATCGTTCGCCAAACAGACACGGATTCTCGGGTCAAAACAAAAAATGGCGTGGGATTTTTCATCTTCCTTGGCTGAGGTTGTCGCGTAGACTGCAAGTTTAGGGATTCGGACAACAGAAAAGTTAACACGGGTCAATATCAAAGATGTGTAAAACAGTGAGGTGAATTATCGACGAACGGATCGTCTGACTCAGAGATATAATGAAGATGTCAGAGGTCTAGAACTAACACGCTACTCAGAAGGTCGCTGATATTTCAATGACAGAAGAGAACGGTTTTCGTTATTAGACCCGTTGTTTGTTGGGTTGAAGTTTACTTTTTATAAAAGACCCACGATCCATTTAGAATTTACAATGAAGGTATCCACTTGACATTGGTGGATGCTGCAAAGGGACAGCAGAATACCACAGGGGTTGTACCGGTTACACAATGACATCCTCCACCCATATGAAACTGGTTCATCAGCGTGAGCGACAATGATCGATGAAACCTATCATCGGCTAAACGCTTCTTGCGTAGAGTCATGGGCAACTTCCATACAAAGATCGCGATGTGAGCAAGCATAAACCAAACTTGGAACTTCGTTTTGTTTAACTAGTCAACACCGTTTTAAACCATGTATGCGATTGACATTATGTATGCTATTTCACAGGATCCATGCAAGTATCAGCCAGAAGTATACGCTACTTACTTCCCATATTTGAAGGAAGAACATCTTTAAACATAGAGCCAGAGTAGCAAGCCTCCATGTACAGCACCAATTTGTTGAACTTTTTTTTTGAATGCATGTAGGCGAGGGTATCGTTCAGCTCCATGGCATACAGCTGTCGCAAGACAAGAAGAAATAATCTCGTGAGCTCGATATGAGTCACTCCGGGAGTCAGTCACGNGTGGATCCCCTTGTTGAAGAAGGGTGGCGTTATGTCCTGACTTAGTGCGGATAAATCAGGCTGTGTTGGTCGCTCTTGGCCCACCGGCTACTCGTTGCATCTATCAAGCGCACCACTGATGATTCCCAAAAAGTATGCAACACTTTCTAGGCTTTCCATCACAGACTGGTTTAATCATACTTAAACAAATATTCATATTATGTAGGATTTGTCCCTCCCCTCTAGAAGCGAGAAGCAGTAAGAATTCGGTTGATGCCTCCGTATCATCTACGCCTCATGCGTGACCCTATACGACCACGTTCTTTGTTTATGGTATCTAAGTTTGCTCAGCAGTCCTAATGGATCGACCGCGGAATTATGTGGGCTGAGCAACCCTAAACTAAGTAAAACGAAATCTATACGACGGTGTCTTTTAAAGCACCTTGACGATACCTAACAAACTTGAATTCCTGGGGTCAGTCTTGGAATTGACGTACAAACATCGTAGGTTGTGTTTCATTCTCCGGTTGATGTGTAGAACAATTTGACTATAAACTGCATTTTTAAGGAATTGCTGATGTCACTGCGGCAACATACGTTCACGTGAGGCTTTTCAATCCGTTCCCTATTTAACTCCCGATTAAAAAACTGCGTCCTAAAACCACGGTTACCAAAGCTAACTAAACTTACATATTCTTCCAGGAAGCCAATGTGGGAAATCGCACCATGACCGGAGAAGAAGATGAACACGTTGTCATCAGGACCGCTGTTAGTAAGCAGAAAGTTTGAGGTGGTCTTGAAGAGTATCTCATTGGGTTGCGCTCTAGCGCATAGGAAGGCAAAACAAAAAAACCGAGGAAATGGAACGATGGCGAACACGTACTTCGGAATATTGCGTTGTACACGCTGCTAGATATAATCGTTAGCTACATTAACTTCTACTTTTAGGCTATTTGCTTGGTCGCATGAATACGGAAATGATAAATCGATTGCTCGGGCGTCTGTTGATTAACTCTTGTATCATGAGATGTAGTCGCTTCTATGGTTTCAACATCACGGAGGTGGTTTGAGGCAGTTTTCTAGTAAAGCTAGTTTCATCAGCTTGTCGTTGTAACGGTCACACTCAGCTGTTTCAGAAACACGCACGATTACATCTGTTCAATAAAATACCTACATAATGCACACAACAATGAGGAAAAATATTATAACCAAGGTGAGGCGATCCTACATTTTGAACACGGATATCGAAACAATATGTTTTAACTAAAACTCATCTGGAAATTTTCCGTGTGTTGATCGTTGATCAAGATGGTTATCATTTTTTCTCTGACGTAGTGATCAGCATACAAATGTTGCATCCCCAAACGAAGTGACATCATGTGTGAGTGGTTTGGTTAGAAGCTACACCATACCTGTCTGATATTAGGCGGTTGTGACTGGCTGAAGGGAGCATGCACTTCTCGGAGTCCTAACGGTCAATTTCGAACTGTGCTGCGTTGTTGCATGCATCCTCTGAATTCGTTTGCTCTTTTAAGTAGTTTCCGTCTGAAGACCTTTTGTTGACGGTCTGATTGATCGGTTGCCGATTTCTTTGTCGCAGTATGACTTTTCACATTCGTTTGGCTCTCAGCCCACTTGTGGGTTCGGTAGTACATTTCGTTCTGTTGCTTCGGATTTTCTGTGGTGTTGTAGTCCGAGTTTTCGTGGTTTGAATTCATGATTGCCTTTCTAGTAATTAAAACTGGTTTATTGTGTAGATGAGTTTACCGTCTATTTTATAGACCATCTCTCTTTCCTTCTCTATCCAAATAATGTAAAGGCGGGATCAAAAACGCTCAATTTGTTCAACTTAGTATTGGGAAATCTTTTAACCTACTTCCTGTTCATTTACCTATTAGAGCTGATAATGAACCTGGTTAAAGCAGAAAAGCAAACCAGCTAGTGCAAAAATTGACGGAGAAATATTACGTGGACTTTGATTTCGATCATGCAAACAACAGTGTTTATTTGCGTGTTTATTCGCGTCGCACAACACTTTGAGTTAAAACAACTCCTGAATCCGAGTAAACCAAAATCGACCGACCCCATGTTGAACAACACTAAGCAGATGTTATACCAATTAAATCTGCGCATATTTCATCATTTCCGAAACTTGTTCACAGTGGCGATTGATGTCTATGAGCTAATGATAACCAATAGTCTGAAATGAAATGGATAAACCGTTTCTCCCCAATGGCGAACTAAATCCTTTTGTACTGACTTCTGGGAGGCTTACGTAAAGAGATTATATACCAAGCATCATACGAGAATACTAAACACGCAATTCATAAATCCGATGACGTGGAAATCCAAAACTAGAATTCCGACTGTGATCAGCCAGTGCATTCACAATATCCACTTCGGCACAAACTCACCTTTTCAGAACCTTCTTCTTGTTAGCTTCAAGTTTCTGATCACCTTTCAGCACTTTCACGAAGTTATCACGTGTGACATCCTAAAACGGATAAAAATGCATGATCAGTTATTCCTGTGGCAATGGTGTTCTCCACACTCTGTCTGTTCACAGCAACCATCGACTTGCAATCCAACAAATAATTGAATTCTACGGTCTGCCTTCCAGCTTCACTCATATTATTTTCACGATGGTCGCTATATGCTGAAAATTGAAAAGTTCGATTGTTGCTCTGTTTGACCAGCATGCCATCTGGATTTGCTCCTCGAGCCTGGTGTTAGTAGTTGAGTTGAAAATGGACTACCAGGAACAACTACCAAGTGGCATTCATCTCTACCTCAGTTGGGAAGGAATGCAGCATTCCTGAGAAATAGCCGCTATCACGAAACGAGTATCAGTCATCAGCACTCAAATGTATCACACTTGAGCATGTCTTATCTATGATATTCTTGGCTGAATATGCTGTCCCAGGATATCACACGATATTTCCTCGGAGAACGATACTCGGGCACCGTTGGTATTCGGGCAATTTTTATGGTTCATTTGACAAAAACGCTAGCCAAAAGCAGAAGGTCTTGAGCCTTCTGGGAGTTCGTTTTGGCCGGTAATATGACTAGTGTTCGTTCAAGTGCATTGGACATTCTGAAATATAGTAAAACTAATTAGTCTGCCCTGCGGTTTTCATTGTTTTGATCCGCATTGTCAGTTTCCTTGCATCTTGTGTTACCCGGTGAACTGATGCAGGAATTCATTTGATTGCTGCGCAAGGGAAAAAGGGGCTTACTTTTTCACGATAGTCAATCACCACACCGTTGTAGACATCTTCGTGATCGTAGTGATGGAACACTTTGCCTTTAAAGGGGTTTCTGGAATTAACGAATGAAAATTGGCAGTGGGCCTTTTGGGAGAATTTAACATGTAGGCCGACTAAAAAAATGAAAGTTTCATAATGCTGCTGGTTGGTAATTGGGCTTCTTTTCGAATAAATTTTCACGAGGATGAGTGCACCTTCTGTCAGACATTCGATTGAGTGTGACTAAGAATCCTTTGCGCAGAAGTAGTTTAGTTATCCTGCAATGATCCCCTCAGGGTGCGTGACAAAGAAAATTTGGATCAAAAATGTAATTCTTTTAGGTGAATGTACATTCAAATATTATTCTTTTATTCGGCTGCATTACAAAATATTTAGCTGACTAGATTGTCTGCTTACACTTCGCTTCAAATCATCAGAAAGTTGATGTACTAAAGCATCTGGGTACCGATGTGATTACGCTCAGTTTACTGACAAATAAAACGGGGACATATCATTCTCATCATCCTCATCATCATCATCATCATTCTGNTCACCATCAACATCATCATCTCAACCATCATCCTCAACCCCATCATATTCGTCATCCCGGTCATCATCACCATCATCATTATCATCATCATCACTGTCACCATCATCATGCTGATCGTCATCATCAACATCAGCCTGATTATCATCATCCGCAACCTCATCATAATCACCATCCTGCTCATCACAATCATTATCATCCTTATCATCATCTTCATCATTCTCATTATCATAAGTATCATCATCATTCTCGCTATCATCATCATCATCAATATCGTCAACATCATCACCCTGATCAGCATCATCAACATCATTATCCTGATCTTCATCTTCATCATCATCCTCATCCTGATTATCCACATCAGCGGCGGCCTCCGCACTTAAATGACATATAGATATCAATGTGATTCATTTCAGACTACGCAAACGAGTACATCATTATCACCATCGTCAACATCATGAACACCATCAACATGTGTTGCTTCCATCATGGTTCTATGGCATCTACAGTCATGAAAACGCATTAACCAACGGAGAAACTGATATGACGGCAAACCAATGAGACATGTTATTGGCAAACTACGAAGCGCGTTTCTACACTGTATTTGTTACTATATAGCAAACACTGTACGCGATATTTACTTGGGATTGTTGGCAATATCGTCGTAGGCGAAGGTAATTATATTCTCCGGTGGAACATTGTATTTACGCACCAATTGATACGCGTGAAATACGTCCGCCTAAATGACAACACAATTACACGGGAATTAAGCATGAATTGAGGCAGAGAGGAGCATGGAGTCTAAAAAAGAATAATCCATCGTAGGTGGAGTTGCAGTTCTTCAAACAGCATTCAGAAGCATTATCCCAAGAACAGGAAGCATGATTCTACTCTGGAAGAGCTTGTGTGGACCAAAGTGCCCCATTCAGTCAACTGTTCGAAAAACGACCTCCTCCCCGAAGCTGTACAATCTTCGTATCCCTTGGCTTCGGAAATACGTCCGAAACTGTAGTTCTCTTCTTTGCTAGATAAATAGTCTTATTGTAGCGAAACTCAGTGGCAATAAATTATTACCCACTGAACCTTAGGAGTGGATATACACACACTGATTATGTGTGACATTTGCATACGATTCTCACGTAAACCCAAGCAAATGTTAGGTGGAGGACAAAGGAATTTGACCAAGATTGAGTTCTGCATGTTTGTTCCAAATACACGCTACTTGATCTCACCAAGTAGTATAGATTTATCCGCTCACACTGTCTAGCAATTCCGGTGCTTTCGTCATGACAGCCAATGTTGTTGGTACGTGAGTTTTTTGTTGGGATTTCTGAGACCTGGTTTATACAGCAGGTGACTCTAGGCTACGGTACTCCGGATCTCGCGAGTGCTCCTCCAATATGATGAAGCTACAATGTCAGGTCAGTTGATTACTGGTGATTTGAAAAACATCTAATTCGTGTTTGATTCAACACCATACCTTCCACTCACATGCCGTCATTTCACCTTACATAACGCAAAATGAAGCACACATTGGTGACGTTGTCGGATTCCGATTAACGTGAATCTCACTATGCACCTCAGTAACATCTGCGTTTGATAGGGCCAGAGAATCGACCTCGCCCAAAACGATATCGTTTTACGACAAGGAAATACTGACGAAAACCAATACAGGCCATGAAATGTTTGCCCATTAATTGTGACATCTACCCAACGCCTTTTAGAGTGAAATATCACAGTCATGCAGAGAACTAGTTAATACACAAACGTTTGGGGCACATTGGTGCAAACTTGGAGGATTTAGTTGAACTTTTGAACCTAACACCAATAAAAACCAACGGAAACATACTTGATGTCGATAATTTTCCCAGGTGTTGGAACCAGCGGCCAGGACAACCCAGTTCTTTGACGGCTGGTTGTTAAATAGGGATGACCAATTTTGGAAACTGATGGCGTCCAAACATGCAGCCTGGCGGATACAGAAGAGGAACATGAGAAGAATCGAACAACGACGCATCATATCCCGGCTTGATTGAACATTCATGTGCCTGGCATTTTATACTGTGCATCTGCTGTGAGTTGAACTTTGCCTTACATATGTATGACGATGGTGTGAAAAGCTATCCACCACAAATCTAATAGGTCTGTGGTACAAAGTTTATGCTAATCGGGGTATAATCAACCATTTTGATCATCTTGTTCAATGGCTGATCACTTAATCAAAGGTTTTTAAACAGTCTCTGTATATTGATGATTTGTGGTGGAGCATTTCATTGAGCGCCTGTGCGCTTCAGACAGTACTAAGCAGCAAACTGAGTCTGGCGGCTGGCTTACGAGTATCTTTACTGAAAACTTTGGTCCACGGTGACATCCACACGATGTTTGATAATAAAATGTCATACCGGAAATGTGTATTCGGCAAATTGGGTTTCGCAGTGCGTCAAGATAAAGCTGGACGAACTGACTGGACTCAAAAATTTGGTGTTTACTCACTGCGTAAATCGCCAATTTCGTGACACTTCTAGTTGATTTAGGTCAGTGCATAGCAAGATTTTCTTTTATAATATTTTGATCAGGAAGTAAAAATCGACTCTTACACACCATATAAGCTGAAATTATTATTGTCCCGTCGCCCCCGGCTGGATGCTTTCAGCGGAATGGCAATTCCAGATCGATTCCCATGACAAATGTCCTGCGGGTATGCTTGAGAGATCTAGAGGATACAGACTCTTTATTTACAGTATGACTGACCCAATTCATTCACTCACATTCGGATGGAACGAATGCTGCAGAAATCCGGCGTAACCATGACCGGATTCTTGAAACTCATTCGCGAATACCCTTAACCTACTGAGGCTTTCAAAACACCCGAAGATCGCAGTAGGGAGAACACCGTGAAATTCAGAAAAATCCGGTTGTCGGTTGGACGCTCAGACAGTCAAGCAGTCAAGCAAAATCATGCGATGATGAGTGTCTAACCATCACTGATCCGAAAGCCTGGATTCAACTCAGTTCAAGAGTGCGCGATGCGCCTTTTTCGTTGTGAGTCTTGCTCCAAAATTTATCCGCCGTGCGAAGTAAGTTACCTCAAAATCAACTCTAAAGAACCACACCAATCAAATATATACTCTCAGAACAGGGTTTAGTGATGGGATCACCAATATCCTCGATTTTAGCCAACATGTACATGGGACACTTTGAGCAGAAAGCTTTAAACGGATTTGATTGTTCATCAAGGGTTTACTTGCGCTACGCAGATGTAACGAGGTGGCATTGGGTCACCAAATTCTTTCTATATATGAACACTCAGGGCACTCACATTAGGTTTAGCATTGCCTAGAAGCCCATTCGCCGGCTCAACGAATCGTTTCAATATCTGAACACTTTGGACACTCACATTTAGCTATGCCTGGCACTAGGATTCCCTTTGCTTACACTACCTTAACTTAACTAAATGAGGCACAAGAGGGATGGAAATAAAAAACAATGTTCACCGGAAATAAACAAAAAATCGTTAGTTCGTAGAGTATATGCTAGAATAGATTCAACGATGCTTAGAAGAGTGAGAGCACAGTGTACAGAGGAGGTCGACCGAAGAGCAGCACAACTTGAGGTAGAAAAGCGACTTAGAGATAGGGGATACACGAAGGGTTTAGGAAAGCAACAACTAAGACGGGTGTTGCTGGTAATAGCAAGACCCTTAGACCAGCGCTTAATCCAAATGATGCTCCTCTTCACCTGAGAGTCCATCTGATAAATTGATTACGCTGAAACAGCTAGTTGATGACCTAATCTCCTATGTGGTGTTACTAGGAAAGCTAGTCGAAGAAAGCGATTATCAAACTTACGTACATGTTTGTCGTTGCCCTGTGTACCTTGACCTAAATTTAGTTCTTCTTGAGGTTGCTGAAAAATCATCGACAGCCCACGACGAGTTTCCCTCTACCAGTTCAGGCTCATCAGGTAGGCGATATATCATGAGGTTTCGTCAAACATATGTTCTACTTGAACAAGAATTGGACTGTTTCCGAGAAATACACTCATTCGCAAATCAATTTGGATTTCAATAAACTGATATGATATTTCTTAAAATGAACGTGCTGCACACAGGCTGCCTCACGTTTCAGTTGGCACGATGTTGGAGATATCGCACCAAATCATCATAAAGGAAACTACTCACAAGGTTGCTGAAAACTCTTCGACAGCACACGACCGCTTCCGCCCTCCTTGGGGCTCATCAGGTAGACGCATTCCCCGAGTTTCCCTCAACCTTGTGTTCTACTTGAACTCGGTCGTGGGCTATCGAAGAGTTTTCAGCAACCTTGGGAGTAGTTTCCTTTATGAATATATACTGCGATATCTTGAATATCGTACCAAAAGAAACATGAGGTGGCCTGTGTGCAGCACATCCAGTTGTAGAACATCATAAACTAGAGATTCAGTTGAGTTACACGACGCTGTGTGGAGGAATAAGCAAAATGGTCTGTATCTAAGTGTACAACATCCGACCAGAGTTAGATCCATTCACACCCTCATCCCCAAATCAACCGTCCCGGAAACTTTTCTGAAAACGGGTAAACGAAATCAATGAATGACTTCAGAGAAATCTTCCATTCATGTATCCTAGACTGAAATTTACGCTTTCGACACAAAATTCTCTCCAGGTCAAGTGAGCAGGTTGCCAAGTTGGCAGGTTATGAGACAGGCTGGGAAGCTATCAGTGAGCCCCCTTCAGTTCGTCACACTAGATCAGTTTTGAGTGTGAATTCGGGCTCTTGTCAGTTACTGAGGTTGTCCAACACTTACTTTTGTGGATTTAAATAGTTTCAAAATAATTCTGATAGGATTTGTTTCGAATATCTTTCACTTCATGGTACTTCAATTGACGATTCACCTCGGTTGCCCCTAGTAGATTTTTCTTGGTCCTTTTGGGGTTGTGTGTGCTCCCAGAATTTAGTTTCAGCGTGTGCGTTTAGGCCAGGTGGAATTCAGAACTTGACTACTCTTATTTCTGATGATGGCATACCAACATGGTGTCTGCTCGACTGACCCAAAACCGTGATCCACACGCTTGCCAGTTCAACGCTTTTTATTGTGCTAACACTGATATATTTGTTGATTTCTTCCACCTTGGCTAACAGCTTCTATGACGTGGACCGTGTTCCTCACCTTAACACCTCAAAATTTTCTAAAGATATTTCTTGTCCGTATCAAGCTGGTACTTCAATTGACGATTCACCTCGGTTGCCCCTAGAAGATTTTTCTTGGTCCTTTTGGGGTTGTGTGTGCTCCCAGAATTTAGATTCAGCGTGTGCGTTTACGCCAGGCGGAATTCAGAACTTGACTTTCTTATTTCTGATGATGGCATACCAACATGGTGTCTGCTCGGCTGACCCAAAACCGTGATCCACACCCTTGCCAGTTCAACGCTTTTTATTGTGCTAACACTGATATATTTGTTGATTTCTTCCACCTTGGCTAACAGCTTCTATGACGTGGACCGTGTTCCTCACCTTAACACCTCAAAATTTTCTAAAGATATTTCTTGTCCGGTATCAAGCTCGTTTAACGCAATTGACAGGGCTTCCAGTAAAGCTTCATATTCATCTGCGTTTCTCGGCGGCCCGTTAGTTTTTGTACCGTACTCTCCGATTCTGATGTGCAGTTTCCTGTCTGTCTGTACAAGTGCAGTCGTTATACTTAATTTCATAGAAGAACACCTTGGTTCCGTTTGCCGGGAGGCAATCCATCGAATCCACTTGTGCAGATCGCAGTATTTGTCCATCTGGAAAGCTACACTAATATTAGCTGTGCTAAGAAATCTTTGAATGATCTCGGATGTCTCTGGTGCATACGGAATAACAGCGGTCCTGATCCGTTCCAGGTTAGGTTTCTCTGCCGGTATGCACACCCCTTGCAATTGACGCCTAACCAAGCTAGCTATATATTCATTGCCCCAAATTTTCTTCTTTACTTCAATTTTCGTCCCTGTCAGATCAACCTTTTCCGTGCACAGGGCCCTTACACGCTTGAACGTTAACGATGGAATGCTAGCGAATACCGATTTCGGATGGTCAGCCGAATTAGCTTAAATCGGCCCCAGTGTCGGGTGGCTTCTCATACACAGTGGTCTTTAGTTTCCCTCACCGTATGGGTCATGCAGCCCAAAAAGGCCAGTGCAAACTAACGTTATTACTCCATACCAAATTTGATCCGTGGACGTAGTTCATTCAGACGGTTGTAAAACTCACTACTCTTCTCTCATTTCATCATGACGAAAGTGCCACCTACGTACGACCAGAATATCTTAGATTCTTAGGTGAGTGTAAGAATCCAGCTTAAGTATTCTGCTCAAATTTGTTCCGAAAATATAGCTGCCAAAACCATGAGCATTGGGGATTTCATTCCAATACCTTGTGCTTGAGTATAAACCACCGATCCAAAAACGAAGTGGGTGAGATTCAGATATGCTTTCGTACCTTCCACTATTTCATCTACCTTAAGCTGCGTCTGTTCTGAAAGGATGGCGTCCGCTCATAACTGTCACTTGGCTGTTGCTGCAAAGTCCTCTCTTGGATCATTTGAACAAAACCAATTCACATAGAAACTAACAAAAATATCATCTAGTTCAATGGGGACAACCGCTACTTGGTTGGCGAATTCATGCGAATTCCTGATGTAAGCACTATATTTTCCAGTGAGTGGCTTTAAAACAGTTTCCAGAAAGCCTATGCAATAAAATAAAAAACCTATTCCGTCTACTGTCTGTCGTACCGGAATCCTTGTTTTATGGAAATTGAAAGGTCATTAATTCGAAAGGAGCTCAACCGCTTCGTTCAGTCACTCACTAGAAGAAGTCTCGATAATGGGTGTGTGAATCAGCAGTGAATTTCGACAGTTTCATCCTGGTTGCAACAACCCAGCATTTAGCAAGAGCTCACGGATTGCCAGAGTCGGAGTAAGTCGCCTGTTAGTAGATCGCATCCAGTCAGTTCCAGGCGCAATGCATTACGATTCAACTGGTTAGTGCAACGGAATGCCAAT